TCATCATCATCATCATCATCATCATCATCATCATCATCATCATCATCTTTTCAAACCCTTCTCAATCAACCCCCTTAACATCCCTTAACACTTCTCCAATCTTCTCATCTGCCATGCCCGTTGCCCCTCCCAGGCCACCGTAGCGAAGACCTTCCAAGGAGAAGGGCGCCACAATCTGACCGGCTCGGCGACATCCAGGCCAGTGGGTGTCAAAGGGCAGACAAGTGACGCCAGAATTAGCTGGGCGATTCAAGTTCTCTTCAGAGATCTCTTCGGGGGGGCTCACCGCAAATGAGCTGGAAGCATGCTGGAAGCTTACGTCTTCAGCTGATGAATCCTTCCTGACAAGATTGGACATGTTCATACATGAGTTTGCAAACCACCCCAGGGGATGTGAGTGATGATGAAACGAGGTTTCAGCTTCATGGCATGGTACATGCATCTCCATTTTGCCAGATACTGATACTGTTGAATTTATCATCCTCCTTAGCTGACTTCCATTCTTTTGCTGCAAGAGTGGTGGTACCCCAACACTCTGCCTGACTATCGACCTCGATTACTTGGCAAGATGTGGCAGTGGATCATGGTGGCAGCCCTGCTGCTTGAATCCAACATGAAGAGAGAAGCTTGAACTCACAGCCACATGTATTTCCTCAATTTCGACAGCTTGCAACTTGCAACATGGAATTTCCAGCAACGATCTCTGAAAAGGAGATAACCGGACCCATGCGCAAAGATTGGACACAACAAGACTAAACCTTCTGAGAACGTGCCTTCTGACAAGCATGGTGTCCCACTCCAGGTTTAAGGCCTATAGGGGATGAAAGGGGATCAAGGAGCTGGGTGGATGTGATCACATCACTGGAATCGATTTCTTCGGCCCCTTGCCACTTCGTCAAAGCTTCCAAGACTTGGATGAGCTTCGCGATGTTTCGTCTCAAATGGCTGGGGGTTCCAGTTTGTTGGTCGCCTGGTTGGCCCAGCAGTGACTGCTAGCCCCTTTTCCTGCAAGCCCCTTTTCCCGAGACGCGCCTGGATGTGCCAGGTGTTCCCGGTGCGGTTCACCGGCGCTTGAAGCTCGAAACGCAAAAAGCTCCCCTGGACGTCCGGAAAAGTCACCGTATTCTCCTGGTTTTCGGCGCGGTAGGGATGGCGGTGGGGCCTTAGGATGCCATACCCTTTGGGGGGGGCCTTAGGTTCGGCCTAGGTATAGACCTTTGGGATTCCGGGTCAAGAGCCTTTCGAAATGGAGGCTGGAGCGCGGTGACGAGGTGTACGAAACGGACGAGTCCAGATGATCTGCGAACAGTACAGTTTGGTACAGCACCTGGACCTGGGAGTGCGGGTGTTTGGTAGCATCCACCGCATTTGGTCAGAATTCGTGGCAGGTCAACACCACCACCCCACCACCGCGAGAACCGGCGTTCTTGTTTGGTTTGCCTGCTTTGTTCCAGCTCAAACAAATAGAATACTTAACTCATATTGTTATTATATAAATTTAGTTATTTGTGCCTTCCAAAAAGAACTATGGTTCCACGCTGCGCCGTGCTGCACAAAAAAGACTGAGTAGGCCACGAACAGCCCAAACCTGGCGATTTAAAGGGAAAAGCGGGAACACAAAAAGAGGTACTACAAAAGGAGCCAGCAAACCATGCAATCAGCTAGCTAGGGAAAGGAAAGAGGCAGCCTCAAAAACGAAGGAGTGCTCGGCAAGCCCAGCAAGCCCCATAAAGATCAAAAGACCAGGAGACCAGGAGAAAAAGAATCGCGGACAAAAGGATGTGTCGCTCCGGTGACCTCGAATGGAGCGGCCATGCTCAAGCCGGGTGCATCACCAACGCCACACCGAGGTAAGCCATGCTTCACTATATTTGATCTGCAGTATTGTAGTGACTGGAAAACCATCTGCACCTGTGAGGACACTTCGACCCAATCTTCCCCAAGCGCCGCTCCTGGCCAGATGGTACTTCGACAACGAGCCAGGCAACCTCAAACAACGAGCCAGGCAGGCTCGCACATCGTCTTGATGTTTGGTTTAACTTGTATCCTCAGCGATCCTTTTCTGGAGAAGTCATGGCAATGGAGAAGTCATGGCAGTGAGTTGTTCCGTGGGACATGTTGCGACATGTTGCCGCACAAAATCAAACATGGGTACTGTGGTTCTTTGATGACCCCCTGCCACAGTTGTTTTGACATCTGCTTCCTGCTACGTGCGTGTATCTAACAGGTCGTAAACGGCATCCAGCCTTGCCATAGAGATTCCAATCACCCTTCTGAGCTCTGCCCATGTTGGTCTCTGGGATCCCTCCTTGAAAGTGCCCCTCGGACATTGTATCTTAAGGAGGTGCAGGAAGTGTATAACAATAGGCAGCCTCCAAATGCTCTGCTGAATCCGCAATATCTACCCCAGCATCCTTTAGATCTCTTTTCCTAGCTGATCTATCTGCTACCTCCCGCGACTGGCACGAAAAACACAGGGGACTGTGAGAGTGCAGTTTTTCTTGGTTTCTGCATTAAGGAAGTCTGCCCGGATGTTCTTTGTCTGTGTGGGACATTGACTTTCTATTGTTGCCTGCATGCCATGTGCATCTGAAAGCTGCCTCAAGTCATTTGCAATAAAGTAAAACCAAAAAAACAACCAAAACCTTGGAGAAAAAAGAGAGCTTGAGAAACCCTACAAACTTATATAATTAACAAAAACGGAATCTTCCGTCAGTGAAGAGTTCAACCTTTGAGCAACACATGAAGTCAAGAAAACTGCACTCTCACAGTCCCCCGCACTCCAAAAAAGGGTCGAGCCACCTCATTTCTCGCAAGTCTCAACAGCTGGACATCTGCACTAAAAGCACCAACCTCCAATAGATCTGGAAGTCTTGTAGACTCAGGTGACCCGATGCTGGCACTTGGACGCTGGCATCATCATGGTTCTACGCCCACACTGGCTGCTTTTTTCGGCACAAGTCCTTTTGGGGAAATAGCCCCCTCCACCAAGTCGCTAAGGAGTCCGGCGCCAAAATGCTAAAATTCAGTCCTCCGCAGATGCTCCAACCGTTTGCCGTTGGGTTTTTCACCAGTTCAAGGGACTGCCCAGACCGCCCAACCGTACAACTGCTCCTCAAAAAAGTCGATTTCGTACCTGTGATCACACAGCTTGTACAAGCTTTTTTGTGCTCCTGTACCAGCACCCTCCACCAGGCTGTTAGTTGAGGGTTGTTGGACCCTGTCTCAGGTCTCAATCGGTGACCTGTAGAGTCGGGTCCTGGTATATGATATTATTGGAACGACGATTTCAACTTGGCTGAAGTGTCGCGTGTCTGCGAAGTTCGGGCGCGTCTTTTTTTCACTCCTACGCACGCGGGTCCTTTCGCAGCTTGAGAGCAGCCATATGGCAAAGGCTTTCCTTTGCCCACTCGCACCTCGACGAGAGCGGGCTCAGCGGGTGTGAGGACAGCGCATGCAGGTGTTCGGCAGGTGTCTCTTTCAAGTCGGCTGCTGTTGCCGGAGTTTGACATGGCCCATCATGGCCTTGTGGATCCTTTTGGACACCACAAAGTACGCGTTAAATAACCCAACGGAGGTTTTTGGTCTCATGCCAAAACTGTCTCTGCAAGACTCTGCCTCATCTCCCCTTGGCACCAGCTCCGATCCCTGCGATTCCCGCCTTGTTCGCAGTTGCTTTGGTCGGTTTCTCCACCAGCTCCGGAAGAGGTGCCATCGATGTCTCGTTTTGGTCGAGGAGCTGGGCCGGGCGGAACGCTTCCGGTCGTCGAGCTGAACGCTGCAGATCCGGTCGTTCCCGGTTCCCACAGTGCGGAAGGCGAATGGTTCCCACCTTGGTTGCAAAACGACAGAAACACTGCAGGGGGAGAAAGAATACGGAACCCATAGTGTGTGGGGGCTGTGGGGGTGTGGTAAATTGGAGAGAGTGCTAGGCAGTCTTCAAAGATCATGGTCATGCAATGCAAGTACATCCGGAATAGATAGAGTGAGGATGAGTGAGGTATATCATCGAAGAAACCAAATCACTTGACCACTGGTCCCTCAACAACGTTGTGAAAAGACCTGGACCGGAATGTATGATGTACTCGACCAGGTAACTTCACTGACTGCACCAGTTTGGAACCAAAGGAATCGAGGGCCCTCAAGTTCAGTCTTCAGTCCACCATACAGTTGTCCACCCAAAGTCGAACCCTTCAGGGACGTTTGAAAACCAGGTGGACATGTAGAATTCCCAGGCCCCACTTGTCCAGTCGCCCCCTGTGGAATTCCCAGAGGTCTGCGCCCACTGCGCTGTTCTCGGCGCACCTGTTTGGCCTCTTTGTGCCACGCAGATCGGCCCCATGGGGGGTGGATCTTGGAACGGAGGAAGCATGGGAAGCTCCCCCCGAGTTCGGGCGAACGGCGCTCCGGTGTTACGCGAGCGAAGCCAGAAATGAGCACCACTCACGCAAGGGGAGGTCTTCGTTTAAAGTTTATAGAGAAGGGTGAGAGGTGAAAGTTCAGGCCGCTCGTGTTGCTCGATTCATTGGTGACTTGCCAAGTAAAGCATCCTCAACGTCTCTGATGGAGTGGTTCTTAAATGGGGAATGGTTTTGCTGATTCCAGGAGGCAGCCATTCCAAAAACCAGGAATATGCATGGAATAAGCGCATTCTGCGGAGAAAAGGCAATGCTAGTGACACATACCATCTGTGCTTTTAAAGCACGGTTCTGCATTCGCTGACAAGGCGAGATTAACGGGACCTCACCAAACGAAGATCACGAAGCAAGCTTGGGAAGGAGCAGCCCAAGAGTAACACACGTGAGAGGACTGGTTTTGAACTTTTGGAAGAAATCGCACATGGAAGTTCCATGGTTCATGAACATCATCGTTCCGAAGAAATACAGCATCTCTTATTGAAACCAAGGTCCCTTACTTCACTTAACTAGTCCGCAGTTCTCGCCTCGTCGCCTGAAAACCAGGTCGTTGCCCCTGGTGTCTTACCAGATAACGGACGACAAAATTTGGGAGGGCTGCTGATCGTGGTAGAGATAGTACGCCAAAATACGCCAACAAAGAAGCTCCCCTTACATCCCTTACTACCACCAGGGTGGTCTGAGGTTGTTTGTCAAAACACGCCTGGTCGATTACTTGATGTAGTCTGTCTCCAATCTTGACCACAAAAGTCACAAACAGCAAGGCAGTTGAGTAGATTCCATTGGAGTGGTTGCTATAGAAAGCTCTCTGAATTCTTTCGTGGCGCTATGTTGTTGAAAGCCAAAAGTACCTAGAAGTGATATGGCTGCAAGAAACGGGTTGGATGAGTTATATGATACCGGCATCTAAACCAAAACCATCTCTCAGAATTGAATATCAGCTGGACAAAGAGCCTTTTTGAAGGAACATCTTCAATTGTGCTCAGATGCTCCCAATGTAGGCCGGGTGGGTTGATAATCTCTAACCCTGCCCTTTGTGGCACCCACCTCTGTCCACCTTCATTGGGAAACCAATCCTGCAAAGGTTCAAACTTGTATAATCACTATCTGGGTAAGTGCTGTTGAAACATCACTCAAACATTGTAGACCTTTGACTGATGAGTCCAACTTGCCCTCCTCACTTCAAAAACCACATGTGGCTTCTGACCGGCGGCGAAGGACGCGCCAACCTGGTGGAAACAAACAGGAGATGGCTTCCGTTGCGTGGGTTCGATGCACAATGAAAACGTCCAAAAAACATCCTTGATTTCGGCCTGCTTCGCCTCTGACAAGTGTCTCATCATTTAAATTGGAGTAGAACCCTGTTTGGACACGACCTGTTTGTGCACAAGTTCTGTCCAGCTTGCCTTCTTCATGGTTCTTCTTGCAATCTCAAAGAGACAGTAGACTTCATGCATTTTAAGAGCTGCGTTTGACCAGAAAATGGGCACAAAGGGCCTGTGGTGTTTTTTGTTTATCTTCAAGAATATGACGTCCCTTGATCCACTTGAGGTCCCGACCCCACTGCAAAAGGAACAAGCTTAGACATAATTCCCATTGTTCGAACGGGACATGACACACCTGTTCAACATGCATCTTCACCCGGCCTTCGTGCTTCTGAAAAGCCCAAAGGCCAACACGGGATTTGCTTTGATCTTGATAAGCATGTGCAATGGAATCGCTTAAGATCACATTTCTTGTCCGGTGATCAAATGCTTTGCCTGAGTAAATGTAATTCTGACAATGAGTGTGGTTCAAATGCTTTGGGGGCAGTATCAGGCTATGAAGCTTGCCCATGATTCTCGAATCCCTTGCCGTGGGTGCAGGGCACCCACCAGGCTGGCTGATTTGGGGACCTGTGAAGGTGCTTGCCACCAAAACTCGAGGTGTTCCTATTTGTCACTGTAGGGTGGAGGCCATCGCTATTAGTTTGAAGGCCATCTGTCAATCAGCAGCACCGCAGGTTGACCATTCATGACCAATGACCTCTCCGCACGCTTTCACGAGGCCGCATGCCTTAACGAAGGCCACCAGCGCGCAAATCCTGAGGTGTCACGGGACCAATCGGCTGAAGCGTGTTGCACAACATTATTATTAGTGGCCCAGTGCCGGCTATTGCTATCTACTCCTACCACTACCACTAGTGACTACTACTTGCTGCTGCTGCTACTGCTACTACTACTAATTACTACTACTACGACGACGACGACGACGAAGAAGACGACGACTGCGACTACGACTACGACTACGACTACGTACTCTGCTACTGCGTACTGCACTACTATGAAGGTACTTTGGTTTCAACAGGAAGTGTGGAGATACGAAGGCAATCAATGGATGAGTTGACGTTCCTTCCAATAATCCGTTCAAGGAATTAGGTGCGGCAGTTGTATGGCCTAGCTGTTGATGTTGTTTGACATTTCTGTAGATGTTTTGTCCTTGCCTTTGGAATACCCTTTCAAACCAGAAGCCTGAGCACCACACAAAGTGTTTGGTGTGGACGTGGATGGTGTTGATAACCACAAACATAGTTGTTGAGTTGTTTGGGACAAGTTCTGGCCCTCGAAATCCCTCTAGTCAGGCTCTAGGGATATGCTTGGTTGGTCTTGGATCAAGTTTCTGCCGATCTGCCGGGGGAGGTTGTGTCCCACTGCGGCTACAGCCGTGAGTCGCTTCAACAACAACAACAACAACAACAACAACAACAACAACAACAACAACTACTACTACTACTACTACTACTACTACTTTTACTTTCTGCCACCCTGCCATATTCCTGAACCATGGTAGTCAAATCATGTTAGATTGAAGGTAGAACTTCACTATAAACTGACTGCTGGATGTCCTATGTTTGTTCTTCGAGCAGCAGCAGCAGC